GATGGACTCAAGCATGGAAATAATAGTGAGGTTGGCCCAGGATCAGGCAGTGTTTCGTTCTGCTGTGCATAGGGTTGCTATGAGTGGGTACCGACTCGATGGCACCTAACAACAACAACAACAAGAATGACCCATTATTGTTCATTCTCATTCAGGGTGATTTTTCCCCTCAGTGTTTACCGCTGCTTTGCACGTAGCAGTCATTTCATTGTTGGATGAACACTTTTAAACACTTTTTTTTATAGTTGGAGCCATTATATATTAGGCCGCATTGACCCACAAATGGTTCTTGTCAATTATATTTCAAGGGAGCATATCTATCTATAATCCAGACATTGTTTGACACTGACATTGTTTGAGTGCCTCAAAGGTACTCAGCCTTTGAGGTTGGTACTTATGAAAGTCTGGTTAGTTCTTTTTAAGAGTTAAAAATTGTATGATGAATAAGGACTAGATGAATTAAGAGCATTAAAAAATACTGAATCATTGGATACTTGGTTTTTTTTGTTGCTGTTGTTTTGGGGTTTGTTTGGTTATTATTATTATTTTTTATACTTGAGTTTTACAGGTCGATTCTTTTACTCTATATATTGAAAGGGCCGAGATGTGGAGGGGGACTTGTTGAGAGGACCAGAACATGACATCACATAAGAATATATTTTCCTTCCCCTGCCTTGTTCTGCCAGCTTAGAGAGGAATTTTTTAAGCTTTGGGGCTAGAGTAAATTAAGGATTTCATGGAACCATTTATGAGATAATAGCTTATGCCCTGATACTAAATTGCAGGCGAGGAAGAACTGAATTTAGAATTGTAAGTAGTATACAGAAGGCAGAAGTCAATTGAAGGCCTTTAGGTACTATCTCAAACCAAGTTGAAGCTAAATAGGTAAGTACAATACACTTTGAAGCAGAAAATTGAGAGGATTCTTAAAGTCTTGTTAAATCTTTTGTTGAAGCCTAAAACCAACTTGCAGATAGAGGTAAGCTTTGCCTCCTTAAGGTATGGTTTATCTCCCAGATGCCTCTGATCTATTTGAAATAAGACTTAGACTGCTACTTCCTGTTTTGTTTCTCAATAACCACTTTCTCTGAAACTGAGTCTGTTAAAGGTAAAAGAATTTTCATGTTTCTGAAGAGGTTGTACTATGCTGTTACAATAAGAATTATTTTTGCCCAGTGGTGCTTCTGAATTTTAGTATCTGTGATTGGTCAGTGGGTTCTGTTTCATTTTTAGTAAAAGAGCATTGCTTTTGAAAATATATTTAAAGCCAATATAAAATGTAAATTTTATCATATGTTTATTTGAAATGTAATAGAAATTTGGTACTACTTATGGGATTTCAAAAAGTCGATGGACAACTGGAATTTAACCACACACTTTTTGAAGTCCCCTTGTTTTTTTTGTTCAAAAACTATAGAAAAATATTCACGTAACATGTGCATGCCACTGATTTAATTCAGCATGTAGAGTGTAGTCACAAAATCAAATACAGTTTGGAAGCTCACTAAGTAAAAGAGTGTAATAAATTATATAGAACTAGCTCAAATGCTAAGGGGTTTTACTTTCATTTTATATAAAGCATATGCAACACTCTGGTAAATTTTTAAACAACTGATTCAGTCAATAAAATGCTTGACACTTTTCCCTTCCTCTACCAGGTTGTTGGTGTAGCTCAAGCCATCAACAAGAAATCTGGAAATGGTGGAACATTCACTGAAAAAGATGAAAAGGTACCAAAACCTGTGTCTGGTATGATGCCAATTTAGGAAGATGCTTTCTTTTTATATAAAAACCAGTTGCTGTTAAGTCGACTTCAACTCATGGTGACCCCACATGTGTCAGAATAGAATTGTATGTTCTCATAGGGGTTTCAAAGCTGATTTTTCAGAAGTGTATCAGCTGGCCTTTCTTCTGAGACACCTGTGGGTGGACTTGAACTCCCGGTCTTTCAGTTACCAGCCAAGCACGTTAACTGTTGGTACCTCCCAGGAACTTCTGTTTATATTGACTTCTAGAATTAATTGTTCCTGAAATTGTGGGTCTTGAAGCACCTTATGGTTAAAAATTATCTGAAATGTTTGGAAGTTTGTATTTCCTATCACTTAATACAATGCCTCCTTGACTCAAGGGTCCCTATGTTAATCAGTCTCTGCTCCTCCAGCAGAAACCTCAAACTCTGCTCACTGTCTTTGGAGGCCTCCACTGGGGCTGTGTGCATACTGAGGCCACACAAAGGGTGACTTAGGATACTTTAATGGTCTCATTTACCTTTCATCACTGCTGTAAAGACATTCCAAAGGCACTGCTCCAAGCTCAGTCCTCCAGATTGGCTGAAAATTAGAATTGTCTCCTACTGAGGCAAAGTTCAGAATGTTTTATAAGCTTTGAACACCGACAATGGGGCGCCAAGGTGTGAATTCAGGCTGGATGAATTTTGCTTTAGAAAGAGCTACAGTCAGCATTATTTTATGACTCTTCTCATCCAACTCTGAAGGAATACATTCTGCACACAAAATTTAGACAAGCTTTTAGGGAGCCCTTAAACCTGTTTATAACTTTATTCTGTCATTAGTTTTTATTATTTCTTCTATTTAATCTGTCATTGTATGTACATTATAGAGCTCACCAAATTCTTCCTATTCCAAGCCGGTAGTGATTCATGTTGTTTCAACTGAAAATTACTAGGAGTTTTTAATTTGAAAAGTATTCAAACACAAGACAGTGTTATTTTTGTTTCCATGATGTAGTATGGATTGGCACCTGTATTGGTCTCCAGATTTTAATTGCTTCAATACATAGAAAGTACCTTTTAAAATTTCAGTACTGGACATCTAGTCACTTGTCTTGGGCCAAGTTTCTAGAGAAGCAAACCAGCAAAAAAATAAATAAATAAATAAAATTAAAAATATATATATATATAAAGGGAAGTTTATTATCAAGGAAATGGCTTACAATTGTAGAGTCCCAGGTCACCAGTGGAGGAGAGAGAGGAAACATTACCTGAGTGTCCATTATATTGGGAGCAGGCCACACCCCAAAGTGAGCATCCCTTTAATTGATTGGCTGCACATAGCCACCTCATCATAGAATTAACCTTGCCTCTATCAGCTTTCATCACCCAGGTTATGAGTATATATCAACTGCTAAACCTCTGGAAATCCTATGAATAAAGCATGGTATCCTAAAGATTTTTTTAAATCAAGGATTAATAAACGAGGGTGAGTCAAAAAATTATCCACACTTTGACTGTAGAATTTATTTTAATCAACTTTTAAAAAAGACAAATACATCATTTTTTATATAATCTCCTTGCTTTTCAGTACACTTTGTTTTTATCTTAACAAGCTTTTGTATTCTCTTATTAAAAAATGTTTTAGCCTGAGTTGCAAGCCACGAATGCACTGCTGTCTTCACCTCTTCATCAAAAGTGAATCTTCATCCTCAAAGGGCTACTTTCAGGGAACCAAACAGGTGCTATAGTCCAATGGAGTAACATAAGGACTATAGGGAGAATGTCTTAACACCTCAAAATGAAATTTTTGCAGTGCCAACAGTGTGGGCAGATGTGTGCAGACATGCATTGGCACTCAAAACCACAATACCCTGAGATAGCAGTCCTCTGCATTTAATCCAAAGTTTAGGCTTCACCTCTTCAGTGAGCATCTCACTGTAGCAAGCACTGTTGATTGTTGATTGTTTTTCCTAATAGTGTTCCAGTACTGGCCCTTGAGATCCCAGAAAATTTTATGCATTAATTTTTCACCTGATGGTTGACTTTTGAACTTTTTTTTGGTCAGTAATTGAGGATGTTTCCATTCTATACTCTTGTTTACTCTCCGGCTTGTAACGATACATCCATGTCTCATCACCAGTAACAATTTTGTTTTTAAGAACTTCTATGTTCCTTGGAGTATCGGTTCAAATTTTGTTCTCAGGTATAAAAATGCGTCTGTTTTTGCTTTCCCATGACTTGTTTTGGTACCCATCTCATGAAAACTTTCTGAAACCCAAGTTTGGGGTGGATTATTTTGTAGTCAGAGTCATGACTAATTTGCAAATGATTTGTCACATAATCCACTGTCACTCACCTATTTCATAGAAACATTGCTTGCTCAATGTTGTGATCAACTGTGGGTGTGGATAGGCATTTTAATATAACCAAGTATGGATAATTTTTGACTGGCCCTAGTAATTATAAGCACATTGCCTTAGTATTGTATACTGAGGATAATAAATCAGTGTTTAAAAAACACATCTAAAATTATAAAATATTTGAAACTTTATATTGGGCTGTTATTGTCAGTATTCTATTAGCAAGTAGGTGAACTTTTATTAGCCCCAGTAATATGTCTAGTGTTGATATAGATCCAAGTGTTAATACCATTTAGAGACTACACCAGACTATACATGAAGCAAATTGCCATTTTAAATGATATAAAGAGGTCTGTGTCTTTATATTCCCTCTTTCTTCTTACTGACTTATATCTAAGTAAGACTTTAAGGGACTAATTAAGGACAGTTAGTCATCTAGTGGCACCATTTAGCAACTCTTAAAGCTTTATGCAGAACAGTCACCTACACTTTTGGCTTTATATTCTATATTTTGACACTAAATATTTTTGATTGCCTTTTTTGTTTCAGGAAATAATAACCAGTGTTATAGACAATTCTTATTTGGCTGTTTTCTTAATTATCTGTTTTCTAGGACTTTGCTGCCTATTTGGCATTTTGTGGTATTGTTCTTCATAATGCTCAGCTCTATGAGACTTCACTCTTGGAGAATAAGAGAAATCAGGTAAGACTTTTGATTACTAAAGAGAGATTATAAACATCTTTTTTTAAAACTTGTTAAAATTTTTATCTAAGTAATATATGTGCTTAATTAAAATAAAAACTTCTAAATCTCTTTCTTCAGATAACTATGTTATCTGTTTCTTCTTGTAGTTATTTCCATTTTCTATTTTCATATTTAATTGTGTTACCACTGATAGACAGTAGTCAATGACTTGAAAAATGAGGAGTCATCTGACTTCCAACACTCCTTTCTTGCCTAGCCCATATCCTGCCAGTATCATTATGGCATTGTTTTAAGTTATTGTTTGAGTTGCAATCAGGATGTTAAATAATAAAATGCATTTGTGCTTTTAATTGTTGCCCTGTCAACTCTAGACATCATCCTATATTTCATACTTTATCAGATGAAGAGCTTAGCACCTTCACACTTCCCTTCATCTTTCCTTCCCAACTACACTCCCAATCTCCACTTGTACCATTTGCACTTACTCATTTATATTGTTCTAAAGGAGCTCTGGTAGCGTAGTGGTTATGAATCAGGCTGTGAACTGCAAGGTCAGCAGTTCGAAACTATCAGCTGTTCTGTGGGAGAAAGATGAGGCTTTCTGCTCCAGTAAAGATTTATAGCGTCAGAAACCCTGTACAAGGTCGCTATGAGTTGGAACCGCACATAACCAACCAACCAACCAAGTTGACACAAAGGACCTAAAGTTAGAAAACCAAAAGGGAACAATACGTCTAGTATTTCTCAAGCTGAAAGAACTGAAGAATACAAATTGAAATGTTTTAACAAACTTGGTGCTACACTGGCAACACTTAACTCAACAGGGAACTTCCAAAAATTCCGGCCAGATTCAGAAGAGGACATGGAGTGAAGGATATCATTGCTTGTGTCCAATGAATCTTAGCTGAAGGCAGAAAATACCAGAATCATGTTTACTTGTCCTTTATAAACTATGTAGAGGCATTCGACTATATGTATCATAGCAAACTATGGATAACATTGTAAAGAATGGGAATTCCTGAACACTTAATTATGCTCTTTCAGAAGCTGTACACAGACCAAGAGGCAGTAATTCAAACAGAGCAAGGGAATACTGCATGATTTCAAATCAGAAAAGTTGTATGTCAGGGCTATATCCTTTCAGCCATACTTATTCAGTCTGTATGCTGAGCAAATAATCCGAATAGCTCGACTACATGAAGAAGAATACAGCATCAGAACTGGAGGAAGACTTGCTGATTATCTGCAGTATACAGATGACACATATCTGCTTGCTGAAAGTGGAGAAGACTGGAGGCACAGCAATGAAAACCTTATGAAACAATTCTGCTTTGTCACAGAGTTGCCCTGAGTCAAAATTGAGTTAGTGGGGCTGGTTATTTTGGGGGATGATTGGTTTGGACCATTTGAGAGCATTCCTAAATTCTAGGTGTTTTCTCTGGGGCTGCTGAATTTAGAAAAATACCATTTCTGAAAAGGATATAGATGCCTGGCTGCCTTCCTGTCTTAAATGAAATAGGGGTGACAGAGAAAGACTCTTTCTAGCTATTGTATCCCAAACCCTCATATACCAGTGTACCCTGCTTTATCCATTACCACCCCTCAATCCATATTCCATCCTTCATACTTTTAATGAACTACCAGATTAACTGATAGACACTCTCTAGTGTCTTTGAGACTGTTGGCTTTAAATTATTATTGCTATTATTATCTTCATTTCATTGGTCTCATTTTAGTAAGGTATCAGGAAGAAGAAGTAAAGACCTGTGATTTACCCATTACCCTTAACTGTAGTATTTGGCTAACTGGGTTCTACATGCTTCATGCTTGCCTTTTTTAATGCACTCCTCATATCTGTGAACACAAATGGAAATGTCCCTTCCCCCTTCAGTTAATCATTAAGTCCACACTGCTTCACAAGACATATAGGACCTTTTAGGTTTTTTCCCTGCTTAATTCTGCTACCTCATCTTCCCAATTAATTCTCTTAGCTATACTATATGTTGTCATAAAATTTGATCAAAATTTATAGTTTCCTGATTTCTCAAAATGCAGGGTTTTTTTTTTGTTGTTGTTGTTGTTGTTTTTGCCTCGACTATGATCAGGTCTGTTTTGGAAGAAGTACAGCTGGAGTGCTCCTTGGAAACCAAGATGACAAAGCTTTGTCTCTCACACTTTGCATGTTATCATCATAGAGTCGCTATGAGTCAGAATCAACTCATGGTACCTAACAACAACAACAGCAAGAACAGATGATCAATTCCTACTCATCTTTCAGGCTGCAACCAGGGCATGATTACCTGCCAAGAAATGTTCTGTAATAATTCTTTTCTTTCCTCTCTCATAACATAAATATCTAAGATTTTAATAAGTTACATGGGGATCAAAGGAAAGAAAAATTGCAGGAAAAACACAAAAGCAATTCTTGAAGGTTGTTTACTTTGTAGAATACTTCATAAAGTATGTTTTGATTTTGATAGTTGTTGATCTTAGAAGTTTGTAACAGTAGCAATAGTGGTGTTTATTATGTACCTGATGCTGTTCAAAATGCTTTATAAATATTAACTTGCTTAATACCTACAAGTTTTTTGTTGTTAAGTGTCATTGATTCAGTTCTAACTCGTAGCAACACTGTACACAAAAGAACTGAATACTTCCTGGTCTGTGCCATCCTCACAGTTATTGTCTGCTTTAAATTCATTGTTGCTTCCACTGTGTCTATCCATCTCATTGGGTGTTTTCCAGTTTTTTTGCTGACCCTCCACTTTACCAAGAATGATGTCCTTCTCTAGGGACTGATCCCACCTGATAATATGTACAAAGCATGAGAGACAAATCTTGCCAGTCTCATTTCTAAGGGATATTCTGGCTGCACTTCTTCAAAGACAGGATTTGTTTGTTGTCTGGCAGATCATGGCATTTTCGATATTCTTATCCAACACCATAATTCAAATGCATTGATTCTTCTGTGGTCTTCCTTATTCATTGTCCAACTTTCAGATGCATATAATGCTATTGAAAATGCCATGGTTTGGTTCAGACACACGTTCATCCTCAAACTATCTTTCGTCTTGAACACTTTAAAGAGACCTTTTACAGTAAATTATTGTTGTTAAGTGCTGTCAGGTTGATTCCAACTTATAGGGATCCTGTATAGAGTTTCCAAGAAACGGTTGGTGGGTTTGAACTGCCAGCCTTTTGGTTAGCAGTCCATTTCTTATCCTAGTGTGCCAACAGCAAATGAAGGTCCTGAAAGCTTTGCTCCATTCACATCATTCTGACCAGCTCAACTTTGAGGTGGCAGCTCTTCCCCAGTTTTATTATCAGTACCTTCCTGTCCGAAGGGCTCATCTTTAGGCACTATGCCTGACAATGTTCTACTATTATTCATAAGGTTTTCATTTTCTGGCACTACATCTTACAATGTTTTACAGCTGTTCATAAGGCTTTTCAGTGGCTAACCATTCAGAAGTAGTCAACCTCTTCTTTTTCCTAGAATGTCTTAGTCTGGAAGTTCCACTGAAACCTTTACACATTGGGTGACCTTTCTGGTATATAGAATACTGGTGACATAGCTTCCATCATCACAACAACATGCAGGCCCCTGCAGTATGACAAACTGAAAAATGAATGGTGGACTTGAGCACTATCATTATCCCCAGTTTTTAGAAACTTGCTCTTTGCCACAAACCTATGCTGAAGGGGGGAGGGGAACCAGAATTACAAATCTAGTAATTTGGTTTCAGAGTCTGTGATCTTAACCATGTTTTGTTAGTAAGCAAAGGTTTTCATATTAATATTTGAATGAACACTCAAAAGTTTGTCGTAGTTGCTGTGCCATATATAAGGTGTTTTCAAAACGTTTGTGGGAAAATAGAACTTAAAGATAAAGGGATTTCTCTATTAACTTTTGAAGCTCCCCTCTTATAAACAACTTATAACCCATATAAATTATTGTAGTGTGTCTTAGTTATATAGTCCTGCTATAACAGCATCACCACAATAAAGTCACAAGTTGGTGACTTTAGGAAACAGTTTTTTTCTATCACAATGTAGAAGGCTAGGAGTCAGTGTTTCGAGAAGTCTTACTCTTTCTTTGTCTGCTCTGGGGAAACGTTCTTGTCTCCTTGCAGCATCTGTAGGCCCAGCATTTGGTGGAGATCTCCAGGCATCTTGACATCAGCCTTCCCTGTGTCTAGGAGCTTAACAGTGCCGGAACCACTCTTTGTTACTACTAGTAATAGGCCCTTCTTTCTTTGCTCACTCCTGTCTCCTATATTTGTAAAATAAAATATATTGCAGGCCCCAGGCCCAAGGAAATTTCCTTTCGGTTGATCTCATCTTGGAGATGATTATATTAGGTCTCATGATGGGGATTTCTACATCTTAACTGCTCAACTACTGAGAATCTTGGCCCAGTCAAGTTGATACAAAACCTTCATTTATCACAAATTGTTGTTTTTAGTTGTCGTCAGTTCCGCTCTGACTCATGGAGGCTTTATGTGTAACAGGACAAAACGATCCTCTACCATGTTCATGTTCTTTAATACATCAGAGTCCATTGTTGTAACTATTGAGCCATGCAAACAGTTCATAAATTATCATCTTTTTGTCTAGGTGCTGCTTGATCTTGCTAGCTTAATTTTTGAAGAACAACAATCATTAGAAGTAATTCTGAAGAAAATAGCTGCCACCATTATCTCTTTCATGCAGGTGCAGAAATGCACCATTTTCATAGTGGATGAAGATTGCTCTGTAAGTATATAGAGTATGATTTTTATATTGTTAGAAAGACACAGAGCACCTCAAAGCACTGCTTTTAAATCTCATTTAGCTTCAGAGCCATCTCTGAAACAGAACTATGTGTGTGGCACTTACAAAAAGCTGATCAAAGTATGTGCTGCTCTCACTGAAGAGACATAAGGAAAGGTTGGAGGGTGCCTTTAATGCACTCTTCCATTTCTGACCTAAATAGTTACTATGGGAATGTCTGTGTGCTGCTTTTGTCCATTATGAGTATCTTGATGGAAAAATAGTTGTCCTTACAGTACGCTAATTTGTGAAGGTCAGGAAGGACAGTGCCCAGCTGCTGTGAACAGGTGGACCATCACCCTGAATGAGTTAGGTGTTTACTTTTCCTTGTACCAGGAATTCTTTAGAAACCAGAAGACATGTTCCAATAGAGGGAGTGTCACTAAAGGCGACTATAGTCTCAAGTCCTTTACCAACATGGCAAACCAGTGAGCTCTTATCGTGGGTGTGTTTCATTCCATTAATTTGTAATGTGAAGAAACACTTTCAGATGTTTGGGGAAAACTGAATGTTGTTATAGAGTATGGGTAATTTATAAACAAGCCAGTCCCCTTGAGATTGCCACTAGAATCAGGACAAAGGGAGTCTCCTTTTATGCATCCTCTTTCCCTTCTCAACCTTTGAACCATTGCATCTGGGACATTATTTTTTTCCCCATTAAATACCTAGAAATAAGCTCTTTATTGGTAAATGAAAAGAAAGTGGACATTATCTTTTGTATGTATAGGTCAGTTACAATCCATATTTGATATCTAAATAGATTTTTCGTGGTAACTAGAATAATAAATATATATTTTACCCTTCTAGTTACATATCTTAATTTTTTTGTCTATTAAGACTTCTGTATGGCCAGCCTCATCTGAATCATTGTGTGTGCGTTTCAGAATGGATATATTGATTAATATAAAGTTCTTATTAATCGGATACCACATGAGAATTCACTGTGCTAAAAGATAATTAGTATTCTCATAGATATTTTATATTTTCTATCAGTTATAAAATTATTAGTGAGAGATGATTACAAGATAGTAGCTGTCTTTTTAAAGTTCAGGTCACAACTCATTAATACAATATGTCATTTTATCATTTTTTGCCATGACCTGCTCTTTAGCATTTAATTTTTTTAAATTATACATGAGGAAATTCTTTTTCAGAAAAACTTAAATATCACTTTAATTAATATTCTGTGCATACTTCTCTCAGTTGACACCCATTATAATAGCAACTGATTTGGCTAAGTGGTGCTTGTAAGCATATATGCCTGTTAGCAAATTTCACTTACTTTTTAACAGTTCGCTTGTTGAGTTTAGAAAAAGGATTGGCTGATGATGTCTTTATATTACACTTATTTGTTGAGCAAAAATATTTGAACATCATGAGCAAAAATGTAACCAAGATAATAAAAAATTGTGCTCACTTCTCTAAATTAAATTAAAGTCATTGTTGTACTTGTTTCCTTTCAGTTATCATGGATGCAGATTTGCATTCTGGTTTTTAAAATGTCACTTCAAAAGTGTTTCTCTAATTAGTCCAATGGACCACACAAACATCAGTCTCCATGTAGCTGAGACCAGAAGAAGTAAATGGTGCCCTACCATTACTGCCACATTAGATCCTGAGTAAAGTGGGAGAAAAATGCAGAACAAATCTCAAAACCATTAAAAAAAAACCAAAAAAAACTGGGTTTACTGCTAGGATAGACAGTGGTAGAATTCCTAAAACTATGACCTTTAGTCACCCTTCAGGTCTGTAAATGAACTCACCCCCACGGCTTAATTTTCAGCCAATTAATAGTGTATGTTATTGTTGTTAAGTTCCATTGAGTCAGTTCTGGCCCATAGTGACCCTGTACAGTGTGTCTGAGGAGTGGCTGGTGAGCTTGAACCACCAAACTTGTGTTTCAAACTGACTTTGCAGCCCAGCACATTAACCCCATTGCGCCATAATAGACTATAGGGGAAACAGTAACACAAAGGAGGTGCACACAGGAGAGTAATTAACCATTTGAGATCAAAGAGGCAGCATGTATCCAAGGACAAATTTCAGAAGGGTTAAGAAAGAAGAAAGAATGGGAGCAAGAAATACAGGTAGGATAAGCGAAGTTACATTGTGGGGGTCGCAATCAATAACATGAAGCAAAATGTGCATGAATTGTTGAATGAAAAACTGATCTGCTCTGTAAGCCTTCCCCCAGTTCACAATAAAAAGGAAAAATAAGTCTTTCACTATGTTGCTGAAGTTTTCTTAACTAATTTAGTGATTTCAGCATTTTACTAAGTGATAAATCTTTATAAAAAGTGTTCTTTGGACTATAACAATAGCATTTAATATATGCATAAAAGGCAAAAATTGAGACTTTTAGGATAAACAGAGAAATTCTGAAGTGAATACATTCATTAACATGTGGTAGAAAAAGAAACCAAAAGGTCCTCAAATAAGTGTTCTTATTACTATGAATAAAAGGTCGTTAGTAATGGGACGGAGCTCTGAGGATGTTGTGAAATTCATGCTATAGGGCCTTTTGGTCTGCGAGAAAGTAAAACTACATGGCAAGTATTGATGTCTATAGCCAATTCCAAGATATGTATGTATCTCTGTGAATATAGATAGTTTTCATTACCTTGTCAAATTATTTCCATCTGTTGTTGCTCTGATTTCAGGATTCTTTTTCTAGCGTGTTTCACATGGAGTGTGAGGAATTAGAAAAATCACCAGACACTTTAACAAGGTAAAATTGCTTAATCTCTGTTTCTCTTTATCACAAGTATATGTTGTGTTTGTGTTGCCGAGTTAGTCCCCAACTCAAGGCAACTCAATGCACAACAAAATAAATTGCTGTCCGGTTCTGCTCTATCCATATGAGCAATTGCAGATTGGACTGCTATGATCCATAGGGGTTTTCGTTAGATAGTTTTGGAAGTAGATGGCCAGGCTTTTCTTCCTTGTCCAACTTAGTCTGGAAGCTCTGCTGAAATATCTTCAGCATTGTAACAACATGCAAAATACCACTGACAGGTGGCTGCATATGAGGTGTATTGGCTGGGAATCAAAACCAGACCTCCCACATGGAAGGTGAGGATTCTTCTATTGAACTTAGTTCACAAATGTATAATACTGACTACATACTTATTTCATGGCCAGTTTGATCTAAAATATATAAGCTATAGATAGCTTTATTTTTTAAAAAATACGTTGCTATTTGATATTAAACTTCAGGTTTTTTCACTACAGTTGACCTACCTGAGAATTATTTCTTACTGTGAATGATGTTATAATTAGTATAGCTCTCATTACAGTACTTTTTTTTTTTGACAACTGGTTCATTTAATACCCGCTAGTACTACCTTTTGATGTAATTTTTCAATAAGAATTAGATCCTTCTGGAAATTTCATAGACATCTGAAAAGACTTACTCTTAGTAAGCCATAAGGACTTAAATAAAACATTTTTTAAAAAATCAAATATGATATTTTAAATATGACATGTTGTTCGTGCTGTTGTTAGGTGCCATTGACTTAGTTCCGATTCACAGTGACCCTGTGTATGACAGGAAGCACTTGCCTGGTCCTACACTGTCCTCACAGTTGTTCTTATGTTTGAGCCCATTGTCGCTGCCACTGTGTCAATCTATCTTGTTGGGGTTCTTCCTCTTTTTTTTTTTGTTAATTTTCCACTTTACCAAGCTTGATTTCCTTCTCCAGGGACTGATGCCTCCTGAAAACATGTCCACTAAGGACATTCTGACTGTATTTCTTCCAACACAGTTTGTGTGTTCTTCTGGCAATCCATGGTACTTTCAATATTCTTCTCAATACCATAATTCAAATAAATCAGTTCTTCTACAGTCTTCCTTATTCATTGTCCAACTTTTATATACATCTGAAGTTATTGAAAATACCATGGCATGTATCAAGCACAGCTCAGTCCTCAAAGTGACAGCTTTGCTCTTTAACACTTTTAAAGTGTATTTTGCAGCAGATAATATGATATCGCAGCAGATAACATATATAAGTACTATGTTAGGAGCTCTGGTAGTGTAGTGGTTATGAATCAGGCTGTGAACCGCAAGGTCAGCAGTTCGAAACTACCAGCTGTTCCACGGAAGAAAGATGAGGCTTTCTGCTCACGTAAAGATTTACAGCCTTGGAAACCCTGTACAGGGTCACTATGAGTCGGTTCCGACTCCACAGCACATAACCACCACCATGTATTTAGTACTTATATTTGATAAGTACTCTATACATAGTCTTATATAATCAGGATGAGATCATGCCATAAGTTTTGTTTCTACTGCCTTTCCTGAGGATACTGAGTGCATGATTGTCTTATAAGATATTAAACATGTTTTTAGAGCATGCTTAAAATTATATATATATACATGAGAGAGATGTTAAGTGCCGTCGAGTCGATTCCGACCCATAGCGACCCTGTATAGGGTTTCCAAGGAGCAGCTGGTGAGCTTGAACCGCCAGCCTTGCAGTTCAAATGG